GCCGCCGCCCCCTCCACCCCCTCCACCACCACCTCCTCCGCCGCCACCTCCTCCACCCCAGCCCCCCTTGCCCTTGCCGCCCTTGCACCTCCCACTGGGAGCGAACGCAGCTCCGACCCCCTCAGCACCAAGGTAGTCGACAGCAGCAGCAGATGCAATGGAGGGGAGAAGGGGGGACGGGGAGCATCCCTCAAAGAAGAGAGTGCGAGGGTCGCCACGAGAGGCACCTACAGCTACAACGCTCCTCTTAGCTGCTAGGAAATCCTTCTCGAGCAGGTCGACAGTGAGGTCTGTGGGGGAGAGAGCTAGAAAGTGGTCCCTAACAGCACAAAGAGAGTCAGGGAGGCGAGTGACTAGGTGGTAGAGGGTGAGGTACATCGAGGGGGGGTTCTTGGCTAGGAAATCGGGGGGGATTGCGGCATGGTAGCGGAGATCACTAGTACGGAGGTGAGTGATGAGGTCATCTACAGTGGCAAAGGCAGACAGATCGGGGAAGAGGTAGGGCAGTGAGAGACGGCCTATCGCAGCAGTGGCAGAGGAGGAGTAGCGTGCAACTAGAGTATCGTACAGCTCCTTAGCGGTTTTATGCTGGCCAAAGTGCTCGCGCTCATCTAACGGTAGGTGGCTGCGAACGGCTAGGCGAGCATGAGCATCGCGAGTCTGCCACTGTGAGCGAGCAGTACTGTCAGCAGTAGCACCAGGTGCGGGAGCGGCACCGGACGTGTGGTCATAGAGGGAAACATCGTCCTTGGCAGTGATCTAGAGGTACAGGTGAAGGTCATCGAGCCAGACATCGAACTTAATCGGACGGCCCTCAGCGTCAAAGGTGAGAACAGTAGGAGTGGCCATAGTGGCAGTAACAGTAGTAGTAGTAGCAGTAGTAGCAGCAGCAGTAGTAGCAGTAGCAGTAGCAAGAACAGGAGCAGTAGTTGCTGCAGGTGGGGCGGCGCGGCTCGGTCAGGGCGGCGCGATTCGGGCGGCGTGGCTCGGGCAAGGCGGCGCGGCGCGGCTCGGACTACACTACACGGCACGGCGCGACGGTGGGCCTGTGCGCGGGTGGCTGTAGCGGGCGGTACGCGGCTGTGCGTGGGCTGCAGTTGCGTGCGGGCGGCGGCTTGCGAGGGCGACGCGGCCTACGGGCGGGGCTGCGGGCCGCTAGCGGGCTACGCGCGGCCAGAGGGGCCGGTTGACGGGCGGCTAGCGGGCTGCTCGTGGTGACATGGGCGGCTAACGGTCGGTGCGCGGGCAAAAACGGCCGCGCGCGAGCTGCTAGTGATAGTTGTTTTGGTAGGCTTTAGTGACTTGTTTGTTATGGAGTACAAACAACTTCTCAGTTCCCTGCTTGTGCCCCCCTTCCCTCACTAGTCGATTTTCCCCTTAGTTCTTAAGGTGGTATCATTAATAGGAAATTCCTAACCTGTTCCTAGCTTAGTGACGTGCCCCGTCCCGTCCCTTAGCGCCCCGCAAACCCTCCCGTCCAGTCCTATAGCGCCCCGCACACCGTACCGTCCCGTCCTGTCCCATCCTGTACCGTTCCGCGCACGTTGTCACTTACGCAGCTAGCAGACGCGCGCTCTAGCGCGCGCATGAAGCCACGCCACGCACGCATAGCCGGTCGCACGCACGCGCAAGCACAGCCGCGCGGACTTAGCATGCACTATAACCGCACGCAGAGTAGCTACCCGCGCCCGCAACTGCAGCAACCGCACGCGCAGCAACTGCCGCACGCCTGTGCCTCTTCTACACATAGACAACACCCACCCTCCCAGCAGTACCTACTACCTACTACAAGCCTCCTGTCGTAGGCCTTCCTAGCAATGGGTGGCAATCGCAATTGACTCTCCTCGTGAAGTTTCAGGCTCGTACCTTGTTCAGCCTCACACTCCTAGCCTAGTTTCTCTGACATACCTAGCTTGGTATGTCTTATTCTGTTTTCTCCTGCCTCCGGTCGCTCCTGGCGCATAGGATGGCGTCCTCTCGAGTGTTACGTTTTGACGGTTAGGGCCGCCCGATCGACTTTAGTACGTGGCTTACCCATGCCCAACGCCACCTCAGGAGTCAGCATAAGGATGGCTTCAACCTCTTTGCTTACGCGCCTGACACTCTCCAGGCCCCTCCGCATCCTAGTTCCCTACCCACTAAGACTTCTCCCACCGCTGATCAGCAGCCTGATTACGATAGGTTGTGATGTCTGGGATCTCGCGACGCCGCTACCTGCACGCCCTCACCGACCTTTCCCCACCGACCGAGGCCATCCACTTCTCCCAGTGCGACTCGGCAAAGAACCTGTGTGACACTATTGTTGCTCGCTATACCCTTCCTCAGCCTCCCTCAGCCGCCTCCTCATGCCCTTAGTGTTTTCTGACCTGGGCTCGTTCAAGACTGTCTCCGATCTTGTCACGAATCTCTGCTCTCTTGACGCTAGCTTTCGTGCTGCCTGCACCAAGGACCAGCTCAAACTTGCCCCCCGCCTATGTGGCTCACCCTTCACTGGTTTGTCACTCACCTCCTTCACCACCTCTCCTCTACCCACGAGGCGCTTCTCCTCAAGCACCTCAATGAGCTCACTATCAATCTTCTTGAGTCCACCCTGAGGAAAGTAGAACGAGAATGAAATGACTATGGAATGCAAGTGATACAAATATGCAACCCTAGAAATGTGTACCCCATATGAGCTACCCCACTACAGCCTACAACAGATTATAATTTGACACACCCCCATAGGCAAAGTGGGGGAGAACAAGGGGTCACAAGACCAGTCAAGCAAAGCAAAGCAAAGCTCAGGGTGGATCACAAGGTCACCACACATTCCGAGCACAAGTTCAAGGCCAGAAGGCCAGTTCACATGCAGGAGCACATATATATATAAGAGGCTAAGCAAGCAAGAGCAAGAGTATATATATGTGACAGTACAAGCAAGGTCAAGAAGTGAGCAAGTGAGGCAAGACAGGCACAAGACCAAGCTGAGTACAGAAGCGCTGATGATCACAAGGCGCAAGCGCCTTGGTTAAAACATCAGCAGTGTTGGCCTCAGAGGCCACGTACGCAAGTCGCAACTGACCACGCTGCTGTAGCTCACGAGCAAGGAAGTAGCGGAGAGCAATGTGCTTTGTTCTGTGCTCCAGTCTCTGCTCTCGACACAAGGCCAGCATGGCCTTGTTGTCTACGTACAGGACTGGAGGAGAACGAGGCGGCTCTCCAAGATCGGTCAGAAGGTAGGTGAGCCAGCGAAGCTCCTGTGCAGCCATGGCCCCGGCGTAGATCTCAGCCTCACAACTGGAGCCGAGAACAAAAGACGAGCGAGTAGCCCGCCACGAAACAGAGCCGGAACCAAGGCTGAAGGTGTAACCCTGTGACGACCGCTGCGTAGCCTGGTCGTCAGCCCAAGAAGCGTCCGCGTGCCCAGTGAGGACCACTGGACTCCGCCCTCCAAGCACTAGCCCCATGCCCGACGTACTGCACAAGTAGCGCAACACCCTCTTCGCTGCAGCCATGTGCTCTGGTCGGTGTCTCCCAGGAGCAACATAGCGTGCAAGAATGCTAAGAGGGTATGCAAGGTCAGGTCGTGTGCAGGTCATCAGGTACATGAGGCAACCAACAAGCTCTGGATACGGGCCACTCGACTCTACAGACTCATCCGAAGGCAGAGCTAAGAGTGAGTGGCGAGTAGGCAGAGGAGTGGCCTGAGGCGAGGAGTACGTGAAGCCGAAGCGCTGAAGGACCTGCTGCACCATGTGTGACCGAGTCAGGGTAATGGTGCGGCGTGCTCTGTCCCGGGTGATCTGCAAGCCAAGGTAGCTGCGCAGTTCACCCAGGTCAGTGCACGTGTGTCTCTTCTGCAGCTCATACTTCACGTAGGCGAGTCCAGCAGTGTCAGCTGTGGCAAAGACCAAGTCGTCAACGTACACGAGGATGTAGTACGGCGGCAGAGAGTTGTCGGTGCGCAGAAACAGCGACGGGTCGGTAGTAGAAGGAGCAAACCCAAGAGCCGCAAGTGTAGTCCTCAGTGTGTCGTGCCACTCACGTGGTGCCTGGCGGAGACCGTAGACTGGACGCCGGAGACTCCACTGGGTACCAGGAGGGAAAGACCCAGTGAAGCCAGGTGGGCGGCGCAGCCAGATCTCCTCGTGCAGGCTGCCCTGCAAGAAAGCAGTGCTGAAGTCAAGAGAGTGCAGCTCGTAGTCACGGTGAGCAGCAACGTGCAGAAGTACCCGAAGAGTGGTCATCTTCGGGGTGGGGAAGAAGGTCTGAAAGTAGTCAACTCCCTGTCGCTGACTGAAGCCACGAGCCACGTAACGCGCCTTGAAGACAGGCGGAGAACCCGGCGGCCGCTTCACCCTGAAGATCCACATGCCACTGACGATGTTCGCCCCAGGAGGGGGGACAGCGTCAACGTAGGTGCGTGTGGACTTCTAGGAAGCCATCTCTGCATCCATAGCTGCCTGCCACTGAGAGGAGTAGGGACCCTCTATCGACTCCGCGTAAGAGCGCGGAGTCGGGATGTCAAGTGCATCCGGGTCTCCCTCAGGGGTAAGCAGTACGGACACGAGATGAGGTGAAGCAGCGGCCAAGCACTGGAACTCCTCCTGCCTGTCCTCAAGGACGTCCGTGCCAAGGGCACACTCACCCCCGACGGACGGAGGACAGACAGACGCAGACTCAGCGATAAGACTAGCAGCGTAGTCTAGGCGGCAGCGAGCAGCAAAGTCGACGAGCTCAGTGACGAGGGCAGACGCAACAGTAGACTCGAAAGAAGGGTCAGTGAGGACAGTAGCAAGGAGACGCGTGACAATAGGACTGGCAGCACAAAGAGAGTCCGACTCCGGGTCGGCAAGAGCAGGAAGAGAGGGCTCAGGAGGAGAAGGCAAAGGGGCACGCAGAGGAGCAGTAGACGGACGCAGAGACATCCGGTGCATGCCAGGGACAGGAGGAGGACGCTGACGCGAACCGCGACCACTACCGCGAGAGCATGAACAGGCGACGCAGGACGAGACGCAAGCTCACGACGCTCAGTAAGACCTCTAGTAGGACCACCGTAGGGAGAGGGAGCAGGCAAAGGGGAGGCAGGCTGTAGCTGTGACTGTGACGGGACAGGCTCGGGACCCTCTAAGGGAGGAGGAGGACTAGTAGAAGGTGGAAGACCAAGAACCTGCTGCAGGAGTGGAACGAAGTACGGTCGAGGCCGCGTGGCGACGCCAGTGCGCACGCTCGCATGTGCGCGCAGACGATTGGCCCGACTTGTCTCATTGGCCATCCGTCGGCTGTTGTCTGCGCTTGACGAGCCACATCGACTTTGAGATACCTGCCCGAAGTCGCCTTCGCCATCGCGACCTCGACGACGTTTGCGGTACCTCCAGCAGCTCCAGAACCTCCAGCAGCACCAGGAGCACCCCCAGCAGGACCGCCAGTGGTAGTCTCAGCACCAACACCCTCAGCAGTACCAGCTCCAGTCGAACCTGCAGGCCCAGCAGCTCGAGTACTCCCAGTACGAGCACCTCCGGGACCCGCGACAGCAGCACACTCAGTAGCCGAAGAACCTCCAGCACCAGCAGCACGGCTCCAGCGCCGGGCAAACCACTCGCGCAGCTCCAGCGGAGAGAGTGGCTCCCGGCGAGACGAAGCACCCGGAGAACCTCCAGGCGGAGCACCTCCAGGCTCAGCACCCCCAATCCCAGCACCCCCAGTCAAAGCACCTCTAGGCGTAGCACCCCCAGGCCCAGCACCCCCAGGCTCAGCACCCCCAGGCTGAGTACCCCCAGGCTCAGCACCCCCAGCCTCAGCACCCCCAGGCTAAGCACCCCTAGGCTCCGCACCCCCAGACCCAGCACCCCCAGGCTCAGCACCCCCAGGCTCAGCACCCCCAGTCTCAGCACCCCTAGGCTCAGCACCAGAGTCACCAGTGACCTCGACAGGCTCGACTGCGTCTACCTGGGAAACACCTAAAGGGGCAGGACCCTGAGGGGGGAGGGGGTCTACCGGGGGGGGACCTGGTACAAGGTAGAGCGGGGGCGGGGGGAGGGACGGAGTGTGGTAGGGGAAGAGGCGGTAGTAGGGGACCGACTCGTCTAACATGACGTCCTGGGAGGACAGAATACGGCGAGAGGTGGGGTGGTAAAACTGCCACCCAGGCGCGTCGGGGGGGAACTCCAGGAAGACGCAAGGAGCAGCGCGAGGGGACAGCTTGTCCGCAGACAAGTCGCGGAAAAACGCCCGAGATCCCCAGACCCAGAACGCCGACGCATCGCCAACCTTCCCCGTACACAGCAGGGTTGGGGAGGTCTCCGGCCTGGAGACCCCGGGGTGAAGGTTGATCTGATGCACCGCGTACCTGACCGCAAACGGCCACAGAAAATGGGGGGCTGCCGCATGCATCATAGACGTACGAGCGACGTCCATGACCATGCCAATGCGGCGTTCAGCAATCCCATTTTGCTGCGGTGAGTCCGGAAGCGTGAAGGTCTGACGGATGCCTCGTGCACGTCAGTAGGCTCGCAAAAGGCCAGAGGAGAACTCTCCGCCTCTGTCCGAAGGCAGACGCAGAACAGGAAAGTTCGAGCCAAAGCTCTGCCTGAGCTGGAGACGAGCTGCGCGGATCCAGTCGATCAGCACCTCAGTGACATCACCCTTGCTGCGCAAGGGGAAGACTGTGGTGTAACGCAAGTAATCGTCAACAACGAGCAGGAAGTAGCGCTCGTGACCCTGTCCACGGACGCGGGCTGGGCCCCACACGTCCATGTGAAGCGTCTGCAACGGGGCCTCTGTCGGAGGAAACTGGGAGGAGTGAGGGGCAGCACGCTGGTGCTCCTCGACACAGGGGACACAGGCAGGGCCAGGGCCATGAGGAAGGGGAGGGAGGGACCGGGGCAGCCCAGACACAAGAAGACGGGAGGCCATGCCTCTGAGCCGAAGCAGAGAGGGGTGACCAAGGCGGTGGTGCCAGAGGAGACTCTCGTGAGACAAGAGACGACACGAACAGGGGGCAGACTCAGGACCAGACCTGGACGCTGCAGCAAACACCTGACCCGACGCAGCTACCCTACTAGACTCAGCAACGGGAGGAGGCGCAAGGGTCAGTGTGTACAGGCTCGACCCCGGCTGACGGGTAAACGTAGCCAGGTGTCGGCCTGTGCTAGCCTCGGTGCAGTGCGTCACCCGCTGGCTCGCAGGAGTGAACTGGTGGACACCCGCATCCTGTAGGTCAGCACCACTCACCAGGTTCGTAGAGAACGAGGGGAGGTAGAGACCAGACAGGGTGCCAGAGGGAGCCGTCTGACACGGGAGGACTGTAGAGAAGCGAGACAGGACAGGGCCCCCAGAGGGGTCAGCCAGAGACACCGCAACCGGCCGACTAAGCGGCGTGAGTGTGGTGCGGTCCCGAAAGAAGGAGCGAGAAGGCCCAGAGTCAAGGGTGAAGGTGAGGGAGGCCAAAGCCGACGTAGTACCTGAGAGCGCAGACTCACCAGTACCTGAGGGCGCAGACGCACTGGCACCTAGAGCAGCAGCCTCACCAGCACCTAAAGCAGCAGTACCAATGCCCGGGTCGGGCGGGAAACACCGGTAATAGTCACAGCATACATGGCAGCAAGGATAGCATCAAAGTCAAGATCATAGATAGCTACGCCTGCCCTAGACAGCTCTCCCCAGCAGGGGATCTCACTGGCCTCCGGGAACTGCTGACGCCAAGCGTCCGTCAGGCGGCCAAAGCAGCGCTGGGTGGGGTGGGCACCCCCACACTGCTCACCCGCGCGGTCGCCGGTGCGAAGGACGTAGGTGCAGGGACCAATGCCCCCACCACGCTGACGTTGCGTGTACCACTCACGGAGCTGCTGAGGGTGGGGGATGTCCCGAGAACGCTGCTGCTGGCGCTGACCACCACCAGTGCTGCTCCGCTGCGAAGCACCACCCCGACCACCTACACCTCCTCGTCCACCGCCTCCTCCACCTCTGCCACCACCGCTGCCTCCGCTAGCACCGCCGCTGCCTCCGCCGCCTCCGCCTCCACTGCTGCCACCGACACCTCCACCCCCGCCACCACTCCCACCGCCACCCCCACTCCCTCCGCCGCCTCCACCGCCACCTCCACCGCCCCCGCTAGCTCCACCCGCACCCTTGCCCCCCTTGCCCTTGCCAGAGCGGCGTCTCCCGCTAGGGGCGGACGCCGCACCGACCGACTCAAGACCAACGAGGTCGGCCGCAGCGGCAGAGGCGACACCGGGCGGAAGGGGGGAAGAGAACACCCCTCAAAGATGGGGGTGCGAGGGTCACCACGAGAGGCTCCTACAGCGACGATGCTCTTCTCCGCTGCTAGGAGGGCCTTCTCTAAGAGGTCAACAGTGACAGTGGTGGGACAGACCGAGAGGAAGTGGTCCCTGACTACACGAAGGGATTCAGGGAGGCGGGTGACTATAAAATAGAGAGTGATATACATGGGGGGGGGGGGTTCTTGGCGCAGAACTCAGCAGGAAGCGCCGTGCGGTAGCGAGTGTCACTAGTGCGGAGGTGCGTAATGAGGTCAGCGACTGTGGGAAAGGCAGCAAGGTCAGGGAAGAGGAAGGGTAGCATGAGGCGGCTCAGTGTAGCAGTGGCAGGGGAAGAGTAGCGCGCAACTACAGCGTCGTACAAGGTCTGAGCACTCTTGTACTGACTAAAGTGCGCGTGCTCAGCGGTAGGCAGGTGGCGACGCACAGCAAGACGTGCAGCAGCATCGCGCGTGGCCCACTGGGAGCAAACAGTGGGGTCAGCATCAGCAGCAGGGGCAAGAGAGGGGCCAGAGGTGAGGTCAAAGAGAGAGAGACCGTCTGCCCTATCGCACTGTAAGTACAGCTGCAGGTCGTCGACCCAGACCTCAAAGTCAATGGCGCGACCCTCAACGTCAAAGGCGAGGACACTAGGGGTAGCCATGACAACAGTAGACTAGCAGTACCAACTGTAGGATAGGGGCAGTGCAGTGACAGAAGCGCTGTTCTCACCATACAGGGTATTTCGGGCGGTTGAGCAGCACATCAAAAAACGGCAACACTGCTGCTCGGACGGCTCAGCCGCAACTACGGCTCGGCGGTACCAGCGGCTCAGCTCCTCAGGCGGCTCGGGCAACTCGGGCGGCTCGGCTCCTCAGCGGCTCGGGCGGCTCGGCTCCTCAGCGGCTCGGGCGGCTCGGGCGGCTCAGCAGGGTCGGGCAGCTCGGGCGGCTTAGGCGGCTCGGGCGGCTCGGCTCCTCAGCGGCTCAGGCGGCTGGGGCGGCTCGAGAGGAGCGGGCGGTGAGGGGCGGCGGGGCCGCAAGGTAGGTGGCGGGGCCGCAGTAGGAGAGGCGGCGGGTCCGCAGAGAAGGGCGGCGGGGCCGCAGCGAGAGAGGTGGCGGGGCCGCGACGAATGGCGGCGGGCCCGCAGTGGGAGAGGCGGCAGGGCCGCAGTGAAGGGCGGCGGAGCCGCTGAGAAGGGCGGCGGGGCCGCTGCGAGAGAGGCGGCGGGGCCGCAACGAAGGGCGGCGGGGCCTCAGTATGAGGCGGCGAGGCCGTAGCGAAGGGCGGGGGGCCGCTGAGAAGGGCGGCGGGGCCGCAGCGATAGAGGCGGCGGGGCCGAATCGACGGGCGGCGAGGCCGTTAGGGCGGCGGGGCCTAATCGACGGGTGGCGGGGCCACTAGGGCGATGGGGCCGCTAGGGCGTAGGGGCCGCTAGGGCGGCTCGACGAAGTGAGAGCCCGGAGCGCGAATCAGGCTGAGTGCGCTTCGGGCAGAAAAAAAAAATAACTCGATGTGGTGGGCCCTAGGCACAGTTCCCAGGGGGGAACCTGCTCGATACCATGAGGAAAGTAGAACGAGAATGAAATGACTATGGAATGCAAGTGATACAAATTTGCAACCCTAGAAATGTGTACCCCATATGAGCTACCCCACTACAGCCTACACAAGATTATAATTTGACACACCCTCACTAAGATCGAGTGCAACCTCCTTGTTGTTGACGCCGCCAATGCTGTAGTGCCTCCCCGTCTCTTTGAGGGGTGCGCTACACCCCAGCTTTCCATGTTCACTTCTTCTCTTGCCGTTACTGCGTTGTCTAGTTCTGAGGAGACTGGATCTGTTTTTATCGCTAGTGGGCAGAAACAGGGGCAAGGAAGGTAAGGGAGGAGGGAAGGGTGATGGCGGCGTATTGACGAGAATCGGGTATTGGCCCCGCCCTCGCTTGGGGGAAGCCGATCTTGTGGTCGGGTGCGGGAGGTGCGGCCGATCGTGCAGTTCGACAAGGTGGTTAACCTGCAAGCGACTGTTGCATTACGGCCGTCGATGGGAGCCAGTTGTCTATTTCGAAGGGGAGTTCGTTGAAGCAATTCGTCGACCTGCATGGGACTTTTGAGAGGCCGTCGAAGATGGGAGTTCGATGGCTTTTGTTGACCGAGTTGGTCGTCGGACGTCAACCAGGGTGTTCTTCGATGGAAGAAGTGGTCGACAAGAGAGGTCGTCGACCAGGGTGTCGGATGGTCGACCCAGTCGACCAGGTAACCCGCTCGGCAAGGTTCTACGGAGGCATGCAAGCGTCGTCGATGCTGCGATGGCGAAGGTGACTTCGGGCTGGTATCCCGAGGTCGATGTGGCTAATCAGGCGCAGAGAACAGCCAACGGACACGTGATGGTGCACATCGGGCCAACAGTCCGCAGGCACTTGCAAAGTAGGTGCGCGCGTGTGCACTGCTGTCATCTGCGGGTGCAACATTGGACAGCCGCTTTGCTGCAGCATTGGCGCGCCATCGACTTGCTCAGTTGGGAAGCCGCCTTTTGGCAGCGCAGGCGCAAATCATCTACGCAACGCTGACAGGCTGTCAACCTTGCTGTGCACCCCGGCAACCCAGGTGACAGGCGACCCAGGTGACTGGCGGACATGATCTTGGTCACCCCGCCGCTCGTTGGTCGACAAGACATACTCACCTGGAAGGAAGCCATCGAGCCCCAGCTGGAGATGGCCGGATTGATCAACTTTGCTCGAGGTACTGTGGCGGCGCCAGACGACCCCGACTTATGTGCGGAGTTCCGCGCAGTGCAACTGTTAATCTTCATGGTCATCTCGCGATGCTGCTCGCCGGGCGTGCAGATCGCCTTGAAGTGGTGTCTGGAGTACCTCGACGCCGGCCACCAGGCGTGGCACTTCATTAAGTCGACCTACCTAGTCACCAACGACCTGTTCATCGCCCAGCTGGAGGGAGAGCTGACACACCTGCGTATGGGCGACGAGGAGACGGCGACCGACTACTACAACCAGGCCAGGCGAATTCTCGCCACCATCAGGATGGCCGGCGCGCAGTACTCGACGGCATCGTCCGTCACCCACGTCATGCAGGGACTTTTGAGCAATCACAACCTCCTAAAGCGGTCAATGGCGCCGAGCACAAGGACGACACTCAACGAGGACAACTTGACCTCGTACATCCTTGAGGACGAGGCGATGCAGGAGGCAGAGCGGTCTCAGGAGCTCTTAGCGCAGGCAAACTTCAGCACGGACAGTCTGGCGAAACAAGGAGGCCGACCGGGGCAGCACAAACAGTCTGGCGGCGGTGGTAGCAGTGGCTGGAAGCCGACCAAGGAAGTCGACAAGAAGAAGTCGACCAAGGACAACGGTCGAAGAGGAGGAGGTCGACGTCGGGAGTGCTAGCTGTGCGGCAACCCTGACCACCTCTCCTTCGAGTGGCCCGACCGCACTGACTCCGACGACGACGACGCCAAAGGAGACGAAGTCGACCAAGTCGACCTCGGCGAAGGACGCCGACTCCTCTGCTGGCGGCAAGGGGCGAGACGACAAGGAGGCGTCGTGCTCGCTGATCGGCGTCGTGGAGCCGACCGTCTCGATGGCGCCGGAGGCTGGCGAGGACTTCCAGGCAGTGGCGGCAGCTGTGCAGGCGAACCTGTCGGTGGTCCTGCTTGACAGTGGCTGCTCCCACCATCTGATGGGGATGAAAGAGGCCTTCGACGACTTGGGGCCAAGTGGCAACGTGAAACACGTGCGCGGCTTCAATGGGGCGTTGCAGGACGTCCAGGGCCGCGGCACTGTCACTCTGCAAGGGGAGACCGGAAACAGGTGCTCATCCCCGACGTGCTCTACGTTCCGGGCGTGCGAGCGAATCTGCTGTCGGCTGGCCAGCTGAAGGAGAATGGCGTGAAGCTGCAGGAGGATGGCGACGGGATGTTGCTCATCTCGGTAGCTCCAAAGGTGCTCGGTCGGGCGACGTACTCCGGGCGTGTCCTCTGCACCGACTTGCGTCCCTGCTCAACGAGGTCGACGTCGCCTACGCCGAAGGTTGTGGCCCTGCGGGCAATTGCCTCGAGAACGAAGTCGACGCCAGACAGGATGCATGTAAGGCTTGCGCACGTCCGCATGGACACCATACCGAGCTTAGCAAAGCACGGGGTCGCTACTGGGCTAGACCTCAAGTCGACGACGGGCGCCGACTCACCGTGTGTCTCGTGCGTCGGCGGGAAGCTGCCATGGCACACCTTCCCCAACCAAGGCTCCGACGCCGACGATGTGCTGGCCGTCGTGCACATCGACCTGTGCGGGCCGTTCCGCGTGGCTGCCAAGCACGGCAACTTGTACTTCTTGCTGCTGAAGGACCGCAAGACCCGCTACGTATGGGTGAGGCCGGTCGCCAAGAAGTTGGATGTGCTGCTGGAGTTCCAGAAGTGGCTGGTGTTGGTGAAGAGGCAAGTGAAGAAGTCGGTGCTGATGCTGCGCTCAGACCGGGGAGGGGAGTTCCTTGGGAAGAAGTTCACCAACTTCGTGGACGGAAAGGGGATCGTCCACGGCCGAACCTGCCCGTACACCCCACAGCAGAACAGCATGGCGGAGCGGGAGATGAGGACGGTGGTAGAGTCGGTGCGAACGATGCTGCTGCACATGGGCGTGCAGCACCACTGGTCCACAACTGCCTTGAGAGGTTGACGCTGCCGCCGAGGACAACGCCGTACCAGCTGCTCACCAGGCAGAAGCCCGACCTGTCACTGGCACAGGTGTAGGGCTGCATGGCACGGTTCCTAGTCCCCGAGCAGCAGCGTGGTGGGAAGCTGCAGCCGAAGGCCAGGTGGGGCCTTCACCTCGGTGTGTCGACGGAGAGCAAGGGCTGGGAGCTCCTCGACATCGACGCCAACCGGGTGGTCACCACGTCGGACGTGGTGTTCTACGAGGATTTGATGCTGAAGGTGTGGAAGTCGGAGCACGGGCCAGCGTCGGGCGGGGCGCCGACCACCCCGCCGACCGATACCTCGACGGCGACGCTGCCTTTGCTCGCCAAGGTCGGTGAGCTTGCTGATGCGGACGATGAGGTCGGCCCCTCCTTCATCGACCACCAGGTCAGGTCGACCACCAGCAAGTCGACCAGCAGGTCTGGTCGACCAACCGCCAGGTCGACCAGCAGTCCTATCAGCCGACCACCCAAGTCGGCTACCCCCAAGTTGGCGTCACCAAGTTGACGCCCTCCGCAGGTCAACTTCCTAGGTCGACCTCCCTGAAGTCGGCGCCACCCTAAAGTCGGCGCATAGTGGGGTAGCCCATAAGGGGTACAACCCAAATAGGGTTAGTACTTGTACCAAACTCTTTCATAGTTCATTCATTCTCGTTGATTCTCACATGGTATCAGAGCAGGTTCCCCTGTGGGAACTGTTCCAAGGGCCCACCGATTCGATTTTTTTTTCCTGCCCGGAGCGCGCTCAGCCCCTGCCTGAGTTGCGCTCCCCTCTCTTGACCCGGTCGCGCCGCCTTAGCGGCCCCGTCGCGTCGCCCTCGCGGCCCCATCCCGTCTCGCCGCCCTAGCGGCTGCGTCGCGCCGCCCTCGCGGCCCCGTCGCCTACTCCTGCGGCCCGGGCGCCGCCCTTCCCGGCCCCGATCCGCCGCCCTAGCGACCCCGTCGCCTACCCTAC